GATCGTTTGGTGGGCTGAAATGCACAAAACGCATGATCGCACCGGCTAGTCTGGTGCGCATTGCTATTTATTTGATTTTAGGAACTGCAGGTGACCTCCAAGATGATCTTCAGCAATGTTTTGGCAGTCCGCTGCTGGGAGTTTGTCTGAGCGGTTTGGAAGCGGCGAAACAAACTAACCGTTTCTCATTAGCTGTTAGGCAAATTCTAAAAAGTGGTAAGCCACATCAGTGGGGAGTTGAACTAAGCAGGGTGGACTGCGATGTTTCCATGAGTTCTGAGGTGGCTGTTGTCCCTCATACATGTTCATGAAGCGATGAGCTGCTCTCGAAGATGGATCGGTACGCGCCGTACGAAATTATTTTGTTCTGTTTGAGGAGCAATGAATCCTCTTAATCTCGGTTCTTCGTGATTAAGCAAATTTTTTGACTTGCAGGCCTACAACGAACGCGCGAAGGCAGCATCAAAACCTGGAAAAATTGTTTCTGCCTGAGGCCGCATTGCATCTTTTATCCTAGCAGTTTTTATTGCAGTTGATCTCGTGTAATGTTCACGATTGTACAGCTCGTCGTTCCTGTTGCCCGCATAAATGTATAAATTTTTATGCCTTATTGTTAGTGAGTGCTTGAAGTACTGCAGCTCAATGTAACTTGATCCAAGTGTGCGACTAGCAACTATTCCAGCTGCTTTCAGCTATGTCTCATCTTCTGACGACGGTCAGCCAGCCGGCACGCTTGTCTCGTCTGCTGAAGGCATCATCAACGCAGCGGTTCTGTCCACAAAAACACTTAAAAAGGTTTTATCCGTTTCGAGATATCCTTGGAGTATGCTGAACCTGGGATATTTCCATTCCTAGATCACAAGGTGTTTTACCAGATAGAAGTACTGGAGGCTAATTTCCAGTGGTCCTGTTTGTAACGTGCCCGGATTCATGCTGTGGAAGAAGCATCTCAATTTGGCCGTGTCATTTGGTTTCGCACTCTCTACTGATTTGTCACTAATTCTGGTTCTGTGGGTCAATTTCACTTATTTTTTTGTGCTTCTCGTGCTTTCTGCTTGTTTCGCTAATTTTTGTCCTATTTCGCATTTTGCGCGCAGTTTCTCGTCCTCTACATTCATCCCAAGGAATATTTTGTTGCACTGTCTTTTTACTTTAACCTTACGGCGAAGGGACTTTTTCCTCTCGCTGAGATACTTGCTATTCTCTTCATGTGCGATTTTTTGCATTCGTACAAAAAAGACTTCGGTCGGGCCGCTATTGTGTTGTTTGTGCAGTCTGCTTGAGGTACAATGTTCAACACACGCGCAGTGGATCGATGATCTCTCAGTTTGGTTATGTTTGTGACGTATGAGGTGCTTGCAAAGATTGCCCAAAATTTGCAAGTGTCTAGCAAACTGCACTGAGTTGCCTGTCTCAAGAACCGAACACATTCGCTCTGATCTGTTCATCGCACTCTTTTACACTGCCTTTGAAGGGTTAAGAGGCACTGGGGCTGTATGCCTTTGCAATCATCGAGCCATCCTTGATGCCATTTTCGGTGTGGCTGCTGAGGCTTCCCTACCTCGATACTTTTTTCTGTTTTACCGTACGGATTATTGTCATGCCGTGCGTGGTCGCTCTTTTCTACACTTCTCTGGTTAAAAAAAAAAAAAAAAAAAACGAATTAACGACGTGCACTCTTTCCGCTTTTTTTTGCAAATCCCATTTTTTCCGCCGTTTTCACTGAGCTCAGCCTGGCAGTATATCATTTGGTATGTTATTGCAGGGGATCATTTTTACTGCAAATCACTTTTGATGTTAGCCCAGCGATTGTTCCCAAAATCAGGTCCTTAAATACTATTCCGCATACACAAATTCCTGAACTAGTTGCGACGATTCTCTCATTTCGACGACCACAGACGTGCTGGTATTGTGCGCATAAAGTTCGTGCACTTTTATTGAGGGATGCTAAATTTTCCACGTAAAGGGCAGTAATGGGGCGGAGAACCTGACTGCTGGAAGTTGGTCAGTTAGGTATCAGACATCGCCAAAGTAGTGCAAAAATATTATTCAGGGAGCGTGGATTCAGCATCTTCCTGGATGGAGGCACCGTAGCCAGTTTGCATCGCCCTCTGTTTGGCCGTAAGCCACTGCTTCGAGGTTTTATCAGTGCTGCTAGAAATCTCAGTGGGATATAGCGGCTTTCCTGAGAAGTCTGATTTCTTGACTATAGTTGACTGGTACATTTTTTTTTTTTTTTTTGACACAGGATATGCTCAAAAAAGGCTGCAAATTTCCGGGAGGTGCTTCTTACACAACTCAGAAAGGTCCACGTCTATGTATTGGCCGTTTAGAAGAGCTCAGTTCGTCTTCCGGGACTGCTCAGCAGTATCGCTGTGACGTCTCGTGCTGTTTAGTGAGGGACAAAAGACTGCACGTGAGTTAAGGTTGGATGTGGACAAGTGTGCTCAAGTGTGTGTTGGCGACTGCACTGCTGATGGTCGTTGTTGTCGACGGTGATGATAAGAAGACAGCTCGGCTGCAAATTGGCGTGAAGAAGCGTGTGGACAACTGCCAGCTCAGATCCAGGAAAGGAGATTCCCTCAGTGTTCATTACGTGGTGAGTCCCGTATCGCTTCCAGCTTGATAGCCCAGTGAGCGAGAGAGGACACGTTCAGCTGTTCTCGTCGCTGCAGCGAAAAATCCTGCTCCTACTCAATTCTGCCTTGTTGTGATGGTTGATAGATGAGAAAAAATTGTGTTGAAAATAAATAGCTGCCGGGAATATAGGTGCGGTCATTTTTCCCGCGCCGACATTCTGCGAGTGCAAGTTATTGGCGCTGTCGGTGGGAGTAGGGATGAGTGAACCACGCGCTAGTCCTTTATGGTTTGATTTTGCTGAATGTTCAAGGGCACACTTGAAGATGGCACGGAGTTCGACAGCAGCCGATCGCGCAACAAGGAGTTCACATTCACCCTCGGCATGGGACAGGTTATCAAGGTGAGTGCTGCTTTTTTTGTCTTATTGCTTC